GTGGAGGGACCCACCCGGCTAAGACCCCTTACCGAGGTGAGCAGCCCCGGATCACCAATTCAGGGACCTGATGTCCCAGGGAGTCCTTGTACTAGTGGGGACTCTTGGTGGCAAGTGACAGAAACCCCTCTCAAACAGGCAGAAAGAAAGTCTGGGACAGACAGGCTCAGGCTCAGCAGGGACGAGGGGCCCTGCTCACCCTCCTCTGTGCAGTGCGCATCTTGGGCAACACAGCCACCACCCATTCCCACTCAGGGCCGTGGTCAGGCCTGCCAGCAGCCCTGGGGACAGAGTCTGCTTCATTCCTGCAGTTTCAGTTAACGTCGTAGACTAGAGACTCCTTGGCCCGTTGTGGTGGCTAGGAGGATGGCACAGGCTGAGTGGCAGGCCTGGGTCACAGTGACTCCCCAGCCACCCGCTGAGCCCAGTAACGTGGGGCTTTGGCCATCTGGGGCCGAATGCCCAGCCCTGGATTCCTTGTGTGACTCTCCTGGAAGGAGGAGGGTGGTTCCCAAGAATAGTCGGGGTCAGTGTGAGCAGGAGGGAGCAGTGCGAGCAGTGCAAGCCAGCATTGTGCTGGCTCAAGTGAAACAGTGTCCACCTCGCACAGCCATTGTCGCAGCGTTGGCCTTCTCAGCCTGCTGCTTCTCTGGGTCTGGAAGGCAGCCGGGCGAGCACTCGAGTTAGATGTTAAGTGGAGTGAGTTTTGTGTGCTGTATGCGTCTCAGGGCTTCATCATGGGCAAAGGTAGGGGCCGATGGGTCCATTCAGTCAAATCGAGCGGCTGCTCTGTGCCAGGCCCCATCTGGGTGTAGGGGTCACATCAGTTAGCAGGGGGTCAGGGAGGCAGTAAACAACTAAATGTTAAGTGTCGGTGGGTGGTGTGAGGAAAGCAGAAGTGGGTGGGGTATGTGGGGGGGTGACCTCAACAAGGTGGTCACTCTGAGGAGGTGACAGAGTAAGCCATGCAGGAAAAAAATGATGGGCAAGGGAGTGTTCCAGGCAGAGGAACAGCACGCGGAAAGGTCCTGAGGCCCAGTGAGAAGTCCACTGTGGCCCAAGGGGGCGAGCAAGTTGGGAAGTGGCAGGATGTGAGGACAGGGAGCTAGCCAGTGGGGAGGGGTCGGCTCCCGTGGGGACCTGGAGGCCACAGTGAGGACGTGGGATTTTACTGAGGGTACTGGGAGTCCCCTGGAGAGTCTCGAGCTGGGTGTGATGTAATCCGGATCGTGCTTTTTAAAAAAATCACTCTGGTCTCAGGTGGAGAACAGACCGTGGTGGGCAAGAGCAGAAGCAGAGGCTGCTGAGGGGGCTCCCTGAGTCCAGGGAGGGCGGAGCTGCTGAGAAGGGCAGGTTCCGCACTCGTTTAGGAGGGGGAGCCTCAGGACTTGCTGGTGGATTGGATGTTGGGGGGCAGGGGGGTTGAGAGGGGATCTTAAACTTTTGGTCTTAGCAATGGACGAGGAGGATATGGTGCTGTTTTCTGGGCTGGGGAGGAGCAGGTTTGGGGGAAATGCCACGAGCTCCCCTGGATGTGTTAGTTGAGTAACAGGCTTCCGGGGATTTTGTGGTCAAGGTGAGGAGCCCGAGACAGGATACAGCACCCAGGGCCCCCACTTTCAGGCCCTCCTTCCCGCGCTGGCCTGCCTGGAGCCGAAGCATAGCCCTGGGGCCGTGGCCCCGGGTGGAGCTGTGCAGCCCCGCGGTGCCTCCCTGTGTCTGGGCCACAGCATCCTCGGCTGTAAACTGGGGCAGCGAGACTCCACCTACCGGAGTCATGGTGCTGCGGACAGAGCACCTCGCTCGGGGCCGGGGCGAGGCAGTACGTGCCCTGTGGCCACTGTCCCCAGAGGACTGGCTCAGGGGCCACTGCCTAAAGGGACGGGGACAGACAGGGAGCAGCAGGGCAGGGGCCTCTGCTCCGGCTCCGAGGTGCCCAGGCTGGCCCCTGGCTGGGCGAGAACCTGCCCGGGCCTGTCCCGTGTCACTGGCCCTCGGCCCGCGTGGGCAGGCTGCGTCAGCGCGCAGGCATCTCGGTGCCGAGCAAGACCTGTCAGCCCAGGGGCCCTGGGGAGGTCACCGCCTGGCCTCATTTTCAGGGCACTCGTGGCTGCTCTGTGCGGGTTTGCCCGGCTTTTTGACTCTTTCTCAGTCTTTGTCCTGCCTTGGACCCCCTCCAAGGGAAGTCTCCCCCTGCACCCCTCACAGGGTGGCCCTGTTAACACAGCACCCCAGAGTGAGCCGGGGCCTGTACCCTGCTGCCTCGAGGTGGACCTGGGACCCATGAGGGGACCGGGAGGAAGGGAAGTGTGCTCCATGGGGCCAGGGAACCCAAGAGGGCCTCCGCCCGCCGAGCTCAGAGTATGTCCACATGTGGCTGTGGGGAGAAAGCAGGGCTCTCCACTCTCCGGCCGGCCCAGGGCCTGGCCCTGTGGGCCACCCTGGGGCCCACGCCGCGGGCGCAGGTACTGGTGACGTCCTGGTTACACGGCTGTAGTTATTAAGGCGAAGAGCTGGCATTCTTCCTTGGGGCTGTCTGTAAAGAGAGTCCGAGAGGAGTTTGGCACCACACGCAGGTGTCTGGGGCTGAGCATTCAAGGCCACGTTCAGCTGGAGTGCAGAGGCGGCCTGGCTCCTGCCCGGGCGTGGGGTGGGGCGGGCCGCTGCGGCTGTAGAAGTGCAGGTGCTGAGGATGCCGAGCCTCCACGTCAGGGCTCTGAGTTGGAGTCCTCAGAGCTGGGCGGGGCACACAGATCAAAGGCCCCGCCCATGAGCAGCCCAGGCACGTGGGGGCGGGATGGACCGACGCACCCCGTGAGCGGCCATGTTTGGGAAAGCGTCCTGTGATCCAGGGCACAGAAGCCAGAATGAGGATTTAGCAATCGCAGCAAGATTCGGGGAAGCGTGTCGCAGAGTCCAGAATTCGGATTGGGCAAATCAGATCTGCGAGGGCCGGGCTGCCAGTAAAGCCTCTGTGGGCCAGGCCTGCGCAGCCTCTCGTCCCCGTGACGCCCGGTCTCAGGCCCAGGCTTACAGGTCGTGCTCCGTAAGTAATTGCTGAGTGACTCTCAGAGGCCTGAGCAGGATGGAGACTTAGCCTTACAGAAGAGAAAACAGGTTCAGAGGAGGGGAGACGTGCTCCAGGGTGGGTGGTGGAGTGGGGACCACGTGTACAGCCTGGACCTGGGGTCCAGCACTCTCCCCTCATGCTGGCTGGGCACACACACACACACACACACACCCTTCCTTCAGGCTAACCTCTGAACCCCAGAGCCTGGTGGCTGGCGGTGGCAGGCTTGCACAACAGTGTCCCTGCAGGTCTCTGGCCCGTGGTCTGCCTGGAGCTTGGGGGCCAGAGCGGCCAGGCCAGGCCCAGCCCCTGTGCCTTCCCTGCCGGGCCCGGGGGTGGGGCCCTTGCCCGGGCAGCTCTGATCACACCAGTGTGTGGCTTCTCTGGTTCTTTGTCAGAAAAGGAGTGAGTGAGGGCGAGATGCATTTGGATGCTAATTTATAATTCACTGAAGTGTGAAATCACTTCCTTCCTTTGCCAGATTGTTACTTAAGGAGAAAACTGACCTGGAGTGGGGAGTTAGAGACTTTTGAAAGTTAAAAATGACAAAGAAAGGGTTTCTTTGGCTTCATTACCAGCAAGAAGAAGGCAGCACTGCTTTTCGGGGTCAGGATGCTGAGTGCACTGTGCTTTTTGGCCACTTTTTCTCGCGGTCTGCGATGTTGCCTGCCTGTTGGCTGATGCCTGTTGGCTGAGCCTCATTTCCACAGCGCTGCAGCGGGGTCTTGGGTCATGTCATCAGCCAGGCTTTAATTAAAATGCTTTGGAATATCCCATTTCAAGCGGGCGACGAGCCTGTGTCTGTCCACTCGCACAGACCAGCACCCTGAGCGCTGGGTCCAGGCCTGGTGGAGGAGGGTGGACAAGGGAGGCTGGTGAGGCGCCCACTGTGGCCCGGGGTCCTGGAGTGGCCCGGTGAGACCAGGAGGCTCTGCGGGCTGCGAGGTTTCCGGCTGCTTTGGTGGAGGCACATCTGGATTGCTTTCGTGTTTAGCATGTCCCTCTGTCACCCGGGCCTTTGTCTTGGGTTCCTCTTGGGACCTCAGAACTGAGCGGGTGTCTTGCGGGTGAGCCACTGGTCAGCTGGCCTTGCCTCCAGACCCTCGCTCATCCCAGCTGGGTCAGGAGGCCTCTGGATTTGGAGAACATGTCTACACTGAGCGCTTGCGCAGTGACGGCAGCTCTCGGGGATCTTTCCAAAGGGAAGGGGGTTGGGGGCTCTGGCCAGTGCTGCTTGGAGCCTAGCTCAGGACAGGGCCTGCTTGAAGCAGGCGGGGTACACAGCTCTGTTGGGGTCTGCGGCTCTTTGGGAACGTTGTTTCAGAAGTCTCCCCACAGGGGTCAGTCTCCTTGGGCTGGTGGAGGGTGGAGCTCGGGCTTGGCACTGGATGGCCCGTGTGGGCATCCTGCCTCCAGCACTTGGGCAGCCACGTTGCCTCTCTGAACCTTGGCTTCCCCAGATGTAGAATGGGCCACAAGAGCAGCATGCCCAGAGGACCACTCTGAGGGTGGAATGAGGTCCAGGACACACGCTGCTTAGCACTGCCCTGACGTCTGCTTAGCCGGGGACACCATTTGCACGGTCTTGGAAGCGGGGGAGGCCGCTGCAGCTCCAGCTCGCCCAGGAGTCGCTCATCTCCAGGCCAAAGGTGTTTGGTTCCAGAGCTGGTCCCAAACCAGTTTTGAAGGGCAGGGGTGAAACCCAGCCTCTGCCGTCCAAGTTGTCCTTGGCGATGCTGTCGAAGGGAAGGGCTTCATCTGGGTTCAGCAGAGCTGAGCAGAGAGGAGGGGTGGGAGAGGGCAGGGCTGCTGGGGCCGGGCTGAAGGGCGTGCTGCCTGGGGTGGTGGGCGGGGAGCCAGGGCCTGCACTTCCCACGGTCCTCGTGACAGGAGTGGGCGCTCTCACCTGTGGCCTTGTCCCCCGGCAGGTTGGCTCAGCATGTCGGTCAGCGTCCACGAGACCCGCAAGTCGCGGGGCAGCACGGGCTCCATGAACATCACCCTCTTCCACAAGGCCTCGCACCCCGACTGTGTGCTGGCCCACCTCAACACGCTGCGCAAGCACCGCATGTTCACGGACGTCACACTCTGGGCAGGCGACCGCGCCTTCCCTTGTCACCGTGCCGTGCTGGCCGCCTCCAGCCGCTACTTCGAGGCCATGTTCAGCCACGGCCTGCGGGAGAGCCGGGACGACACGGTCAACTTCCAGGATAACCTGCACCCTGAGGTGCTGGAGCTGCTGCTGGACTTCGCCTACTCGTCCCGCATCGTCATCAACGAGGAGAACGCCGAGTCCCTGCTGGAGGCGGGCGACATGCTGCAGTTCCACGACGTGCGGGACGCCGCCGCTGAGTTCCTGGAGAAGAACCTCTTCCCCTCCAACTGCTTGGGCATGATGCTGCTGTCCGACGCGCACCAGTGTCGCCGGCTCTACGAGTTCTCCTGGCGCATGTGCCTGGTGCACTTCGAGACGGTGCGGCAGAGCGAGGACTTCAACAGCCTGTCCAAGGACACCCTGCTGGACCTCGTCTCCAGTGACGAGCTGGAGACGGAGGACGAGCGGGTGGTCTTTGAGGCCATCCTGCAGTGGGTGAAGCACGACCTTGAGCTTCGCAGGGCCCACCTGCCCGACCTCCTCCGGAGCGTGCGGCTGGCCCTGCTGCCGTCCGACTGCCTGAAGGAGGCCGTCTCCGACGAGGCCCTGCTCATGGCAGACGAGCGCACCAAGCTGCTCATAGACGAGGCGCTGCGCTGCAAGACTAAGATCCTGCAGAACGATGGGGTGGTCACCAGCCCCTGTGCCCGGCCGCGCAAGGCGGGCCACACGCTGCTCATCCTGGGCGGCCAGACCTTCATGTGCGACAAGATCTACCAGGTGGACCACAAGGCCAAGGAGATTATCCCCAAGGCGGACCTGCCCAGCCCCCGGAAGGAGTTCAGCGCTTCGGCGATTGGCTGCAAAGTCTACGTGACCGGGGGCCGGGGCTCCGAGAACGGGGTCTCCAAGGACGTGTGGGTGTACGACACTGTCCACGAGGAGTGGTCCAAGGCGGCGCCAATGCTGATCGCCCGCTTCGGCCACGGCTCGGCCGAGCTGGAGAACTGCCTCTACGTTGTCGGGGGACACACGTCCCTGGCAGGCGTCTTCCCGGCCTCCCCTTCTGTCTCCCTGAAGCAGGTGGAGAAGTACGACCCTGGGGCTAACAAGTGGACGATGGTGGCCCCATTGAGGGACGGCGTCAGCAATGCTGCCGTGGTGAGCGCCAGGCTGAAGCTCTTTGTTTTCGGGGGGACCAGCATCCACCGGGACATGGTGTCCAAAGTCCAGTGCTATGACCCCTCAGAGAACCGGTGGACGATCAAGGCCGAGTGTCCCCAGCCCTGGCGGTACACAGCCGCTGCCGTGCTGGGCAGCCAGATCTTCATCATGGGAGGTGACACGGAATTCACGGCTGCCTCGGCCTACCGCTTCGACTGCGAGACCAACCAGTGGACGCGGATCGGGGACATGACCGCCAAACGCATGTCCTGCCATGCCCTGGCCTCGGGTAACAAGCTGTATGTGGTGGGGGGCTACTTCGGGACCCAGAGGTGTAAGACCCTGGACTGCTATGACCCCACCTCGGACACGTGGAACTGCATCACCACCGTGCCCTACTCGCTCATCCCCACGGCCTTCGTCAGCACCTGGAAGCACCTGCCCGCCTGAGGAGCACCTGCAGAGCCCAGTCAGGTGAGCCCTCAGCCCCCTGGGCCTGTCCCCACTCTGGTTAAAGGTCTCCATGTCTTCCAGGGAAGGCTGAGTCGGGCAGCAGGAGACAGGGGCTCTGGGACCCTTTTTCAGCTCTGGAGCCAAAGTCTGGCTCTGCCCCTTAATTGCAGTTGACCTTGAGCAAAGCATGTAACCCTTCTGCCAAATGGGGATAACAGTCTTAGACTGGTGCGGTGGTTCCCAGACACGGCTGCAGGTCAGAATCATTGGGGGTCTTTTGACAATACTACATGGAGTTTAGGCCCACCTGCAAAGTCTGAGGGCACAGTCTCCATGCAAGAGTGTCGTCACTTCTGACACCAGCTGCAAGGTAGGGGCTTCCCAAAGCTGCCCTCAGATTCGAGCATCACCAGAAGGACTCACAGGATGCACTGAAGGCTGTTAATGTTCACAGTTACGGTTTATTGCACAGAAAGGAAACAGATTAAGCTCAGCCAAGGGCAGAGACGCATGGGGCAGAGTCCTGGGGGGTCCAGACATGAAGCATCCGTGGTCCTCTCCCCGTGGAGTCAGGACAGTGTTACTCTCCCAGCATCAGTGAGGGACAGTCTGCACAGAGTATCACCCACAGGGAAGCTCACACAAGCTTTGGTGTCCAGAGTCAGGGCCCCATCACATAGGCTTGATTGATTGACTGATTGATTGCCTACGTGGTTACTCTCAGTCTCCAGTCACCTGGTACAGTGTGACCCAAAGCCCCCACCCCAAGTCATGGGGATGTGGCCACCTCCACCCCCACCCTAAACAGAGACGCTCACATCAGGTATGACATAGATCTCCTCCCAGAAGCCGAAGGCAAAGGCTAGACCCCTGAGGAATCTGACTGCACAAATGCTGAAGCCCAGGCCACACCCAGACCCTGGAGCCAGGCCTTTCGGGCAGGGCCCAGGCCTCGGGAGTCTTGCAGCTCCAGGTGAGCCCAATGTGCAGCCAGGTGAGACCCTCACCCTGGGGTCCTGTGAGAAACGAGAAGGGAGATGGATGGAGTGCCCAAGGGCCGAGGTGGGTGCTGGCGTGGTGGGGCCGGGCACCCGTGGAGGCAGTGGGTGGTGCTCCCGTCTCTCTGCGAGACGGAGACGAGGCCTCCCTGGGAGCGAGTGTGACGATTGAGTGAGGGAAGCCGGCCCCAAGCAGGGCTTGCTGCAGAGAACTGCCTCTGCTCTCGTTCTTAGCACCATTGTTTCGTGAGATCATTGGAGAGGGAAGGTGACAGCGGATGCCGGGAGCTAAGGGACACGTTCAGGCACACTTTGGGGGTGCTGGAGGGAGGGGGACACACAAGGAGGGACTTGCCCAGGTCCTGAGGACGGGTGCAGTCAGGTGAAGGGAAAGGAGAGGGAGGACGGAAGGACCCGCTTATCCTGGGGGGCCTCTTCTGAGGGGCGAGGCGGGGTCTTCCCTGCAGCCCCTCTGGGGCCTGGTCAGCGACAGGGACTGAGGTTGGATTAGGGTGTCTCGAGCCAGCCTGGCAGGAGCTCGGGGTAGGGGCTAGAGTGGGTGGTGGATCTGTAGGCACCAGAGAAAGGTTTGTGTTCTGGTCACACCCTCCTTGTCAGGTCCCAGCTCTTGGCCTCCCCCGGACCCTCACTCCTGCAGTGGGGCTACAGGTCCTCAGCCCTTGGGCTGTGAGGTCTGGGGACCCCAGGGTGGATGGGTGCAGGGAGGTGTGGGTCCCAGGGGCTCTAAGAAGCTGGGGGAGGGTGGGAGATCCCAGGGTCTGCTCTGCCCTCAGTGCAAGAAAAGGCTAGGCAGGGGGGGCCCCCCCACCAGGGGGGCTGGGGACCGGCCACAGCCCCTGGGCCGTCCTGGAAGCTGAGGGGCTTCTCTGCCCAGCGCCCTGCGTGCTCACACCCGCCTCCGTGCCTTGCAGCTCTGAGGAACTGGCCCTGGCCCGTGTGCAGCCTCGACCCCCTTTCAGTTCAGCTCACGGGAACCCTGTCAGGAGCCAGCCTGAGCCAAAAAATTAATTTCCTCAATGACCCGGCGGCTGCTGACACGCACGCTGAAAGCTCCACGCGGCGAAAGCAATCATCTTAGCTACGATTGCTTCTCAGTGGAATTGGACCTTTCAGCTATGAAATCACATCCACCCGGGCCTTTGAGGCCATTAAAGGGATACGCCGGCCATCGAGGCATCAAATCCATAAATAGACGGTGTTTGGGCTCATAAAGGCCAGCCTGAATAGGAGTGGGGCGTTGTTCTCTTTTAAGGTTTTTCTGTTTTGTTTTAATCTGCTCTCTTTCTCTTTGGGAGAAAAATCTGACAAGCCAAATTTCTTGGTACCCTGGCAGTAAGCCCCGAAGAGAATATTGGCATTTCCTCGTTGATCCGGTTCCTGTACTCTGGGGAGCTTAGAACCTGGGGGTGGTCACCTTTGGGGCCTGAAGGCTCCTCCCACCTCAGGAAGCTCCAGCCTTCCTCCTTGCCCCCCCCCCCCAGGACCCTGGAGGGCAGTTCATCCCCACGTGGGAGGGAAGGGAAGCACACCTTGCTTCTTGGTGCTGGCTCCTACTGGCTCACTTAATTTCCCTGAGCCTCAGCTTTCCCATCTGGAAAACAGGAATAAAACCTGTATTCTTCATAGTACTTACATAGAAGAGGTCAGGCGAGGGGCTGGGTCAGAGGCAGCTTTTGTACGCGGTTGCGATGAGGGGAGGATGGTGGTGGTGATGGTTTTGGGATGCTTTGGGCGGCGGGGTCCTCTCCATGTCCATAGGCCAGCCTGTCCTTCTGGAATGGCCCACCCCCACAATCAGGATTGCTGTGATTGGGGAGGCACTTCCGTGAGCCCAACTCAGTGCTGCACGACCTGCTCCTTCAGTCCTCCGCAGCCCCCGGCGTGGGTGCTCTCGTCAGCCCCATCTCAGGGATGAGGGAGCGGGTGCAAAGAGGCTGATTGCATAAGCCCAAGTCAGTGCTAGATCCTACTGGAAAGCCCAGCCGGGGCCCTGCCATCCCAGAGCCATGTCGTCAGGCCAGTTTGTAAGCGTCTCCAGAGCTGCAGGTTTCCCGAGCTCCTGTGCCAGCATCCAGTCTGCATCGGAGCCAGAGGTTTCCTTTAGGCTTCATCTGTTACCCTCCATGCCGGCTGTTCCTTCCTCGTGGGCCCCAGCAACTGACCAGACACCCTCCTTGCAGTCCCTCCTTGGCCTGAGCCTGCCCCCTCCCGTGGCTCTGCCCCACAGGTGGGCCCAGGGTTGTCCCCGTGTTCTGTAAAGTCCCCCTTCTGTCCAGCGTCTCCTGCCTGGCCACCTCGGAGTTCTCTGGGTCTCCCTGCGAAGGCAGGGTCGTACACTGGGCTCCCTGGGGAGTGGCCCATAACTCAGCACTGGGGCCGGAAGCTGGCGCCCAGGACATGCCTGGCCCTCCCTCAGCTCCCTGGGCAGTGGGCTGCAGTGGCAGGAAGGCGACCCCTCGCTGCTGCTCCTCAGGTAGCCACCACGGTGCTGCCATGCTGCCAGGACCGAGCTGGAGGAGTGGCCCCCAGCTCAGAAAGCCACAGAACAGGTGCTGAGGGGTGGTGCTGAGCGGGGGCAGCAGATGGAGGGGGTGGGGGAGCCTTGGACAGCAGCGGTGAGTGAGGGGCTGAGCCATGGAACCCAAACGAGGAGGAGCCCGGGCTGAGCCCCCTGGACCAGGAGAGAGGTCGGGAAGGGCAGAGACATGGCGTTCCCGCTGCCTCCCCGTCCATTCCTGCGGAGGGCACCCCCACGTGACCATGGCACTCTCCCCTGCTGGCTGCTGCTGGGAATCCCCCAGCCCAGTGCCAGGGCCAGAGAATGGCTTCTGTACCCACCATCCAAGTTCGCCTCCCTGGCCCTGCTGTCCCGGTCCCCCCTGTAGGCAGCAGGGTAGGACAGGACTGGGGTCTCTGCGAGCATTGCCGACCTCCCTGTCTCCGAGCCTGGAGAGCCTCTCCAGTCTCCTCACCCCTCCGTCCATCCTACAAGACTCTGACTTCAGGAGCCCCCAACCAGGGATCCCCTGCACTCTGCAGCCCCTCGGCACCCTGCATGACGCTGCTGTTCCTCCCCAAGCTCTCTATTTCCCTGTCTTCACCACCAGTTTTGAACTCTTGGCAGGAGCCTGAGTCTACATTGAGTGCTGTAGCTGTGATCTCATTTAACCCTCAGAATGGTCTGTCGCAGGTGCGGCCGTGACAGAGGTGGCAGCTCAGACTCAGAGAGGGTAGGTAGTTGGCATCAGATTAACAGCTAGTAAGGATTGGAGCGGGATTTTGCCCCATGCCTGCAGGCATCTCTGCAGAGCCAGGCACCCCCACGTCTGCACGCTGGCACTGAGCGTGGGACCGGCGTGCGTGGCTGCCTGGCAGTGGGGGGAATGGCTGTGTTGGAAGCTGAGCACCAGCAGGATCTCTGGGGCCAGCCCCTTAGCTCCAGCGTCGTCGTCAGATCCGTGTCCCTGGGTGACAGCAGCCAGCAGCGGCCAGGAGGCCCCTGGAGCTGGGTGAGGGCGCCCGTCTCCCTGCGTTACCTGCTCCCACTGTTGACCAGCCATGAACGTCCTTTTTTTTTCCCTCTCCCACTGAGTTCTGCCCCCCCACCCCCATCAAGCCCTTTAAAGGCACAGCCCCCTCCCTCACCACCGCTCCACCTGCCTCTGGCCTCACGGGCTTTAGAATGCCAGGCAGGCGTCCAGGCCGCTGGGAGCTGGTCTTCTCTTCACAGGCATTGTTGAGACCCAGCTGCTTGGGGCGCCAGGGCTCTGGGGCCCCAATTCCAGCTCTGGGGGCCCTGCCGGGGGATTCGGTCACTGCCACGGGAGGAACAATTCAGCACATTCCATCCTGCCTTAAAAGAAATTGCTACCAGGAGGAAATCCCAGAGCACAGGATTGAGGGATGGGCCTGGTGTGGCGAGAAAGGTGCCCAGGGCAGGAGTTAGGCCTTCTGGACACCCCAGCTCTGTCCACCTGTCCTGCCCTTGAGGGCTTCTGTTTGGCTTGCTTTTACCAGGGCCAGCCCTGTGCCAGGCCTGGGGGTCAGGACGCCAGTCTGCCCTCGATAGCCAGCAGTCCGAGTCCGGCAGGGCAGACCCCACACAGCCCACAGGACGGTGAGAGCAGTAACGTGAGAGCCTGCTGCGCACAGGCAGTGTGACCGCTGACCCCACGTCCACTCTGCAAAGTGGATAAGTGTCCCATTCCACAGATGGGGAAACCAGGCCTCAGAGAAGCAGCTGCCAAAAATTTGGGTGGCCCAGACTAGGACAGCCTTGGGGCAGCCTGAGGGCAGCCCTCCCCTGCCTTTAGGGCGCCCTCTTCTCCTGTCAGCAACTTGGGACAGCCCAGAGGGCGCCACTGCCCAGGTCAGGGTCCCACCACCTCTCACCCCTGGCGTGGGTGGCTTTAAGGTTTGTTTTGGAGAAGCAGTGGGGCCTTGCCCTGTGGGGAAGCCTGGCATGTTGGGCAGGGGTAGAGCGGGGACAGGCCCAGGCCCCTCTGCGTGGTAACCATGTGGGCGGCTAGGCCCCAGAGGTTTGGGTTTGCCACCTTAGAGCACGTCAGGATGTTGACAGGCCTTGTGACCCAGCTTCTCACTTGTGAGGAGCTCAGAGTAGTTTGGGGGCGCCTTCACTGGCCCCAAGAAAACAGTGCTGCTCCTTGGCCTGTCTAAGCCACACATGTGGCAGCTTGCCAACCCCCTAGGGACGTCAGCCTTCTGGGAGCCGTGTAGTGGGGGTGAAGGAGGCACCTAATTTGAAGGAAAAATGTCCCTCAGGGCCCAGTGTTGGCTTGAATTTTTTTTATGATGTTACTTAAGTATGTGCAAACTTACAACTAGATGTAAGTAAGCTCCTTATGTTTGCAGCTCTTAGACAACTGTGGAGCTAACACAAATGCACAGGTTAGCTATAACCAGACCTGTAAAACCAAGGATGCCTTCGCCGTTGATGGATGTTTTGCTGGGGTTTTCTTGCGTCCCTGCTTCCTGAGTGGATGGATGTGCAGGTTTACTGGAGAGCTCGGCTGGCCGTGCGGACAGCTCACTGCTCTTTTCCCCTTCGGAGCCCCTGTGAGACCTCCCCCAGGCAGCTTGGCGTGGAGGCAGAGATCTGTCATCCTCATTTTCCTCAGGAAAACACAATGCTCAGAGAGAGTGGACATTCACTGAGGACCCAGCCCTGGAGTGTGAGCTTCGTGACCATAGGGACTGTCCTGCCTCGTTCACCACTCGTCAGTCCCTGCAGCTGTACTTGTTCTCCCTAACAACGTGGTTGGCCATGCCCCGCCTGCCTCCCTGCTCTCTGACTGTGTCTGCCCTTCCCCCACCACTTCCACCTCACTGGCCTGCTATCATTTAGATTTTCAGACATGCCGAATTCCCACCTCAGGGCCTTTGCACATGCTACTCCTTCTGCCTGGACTGCTGAACTCCTCCAGCTAACTCCTGTGCATCCTTCAGGTCTCAGATTGTTACCTCCCCACACCTTCCACCAAAAAAAAAAAAGTCCTATTTCTGATCTCTAATTTTTTTCATTTATAGCACTTCTCTTGATATGCAACTACCATGTACATCTGTTTGTACAAGCCTTCAGTTTCTCCTACTGGACGATCTGGGGGACACTAGCTGTGTCTCTTTGTCCTCCTGTTTCCCCAGGGCCCAGCACGGTGCCTGCCTGGTCGCGGGTGCTCGGGGAATGTGGCGGGAGGGAATGAGGGCGGATGAGGAGTTCCCATGTTCCAGGTGGGGAAAGCTGGGAGTCTCAGGGAGTCACTGAATTGTTCAGGGCCGTGCTGCTGGTACATAGGAGGGCTGCGTTCTTACAGCCAGGCCTGCTGCTGTGGGGTCTGACTCCAGCCCTGCTGTGTGGCCTCTTGATGGTCGCGTTGTTCCGATTAGGACAGAACAGTGGGCGCTGGTTCACATCCTCTGTCTCTCTCCTGTTCCTCTGCAGACTCTGCGTGTTTCTCCCCTCAGTGTCTCAGAGTGGCCCTGACCCTGTCTGTCTGTCACGGCGGGAAGCTCAGCCCGGCCCAGGGGCCAGCGGTCCAAGTGGCTGGAGGCCAGCCCCACCAGCTCCGGAGCAGCAGCCTCAGGGGCTGTTCTGAGCTTTACACAGGAGAGAAGAAGCTGTCTCCGGTGTTCCGTGTGCCTGCCGGGGCCTTGTCCGCTTTGCAGTGGTTTGCTGGAGGAGAGGACCTTCCAGAGGAGCATGGACTGACACCAGGCCTCCTGAGCCTCGGGGAGGACACGTTTGCAGAGCTTTGAGGTCACCTGTTCCAGCAGGTCCTGGATTGGGGCTGGGGCCGGGCAGGGAAGCGCCTGGGGTGGGCTGGGGGCGGTGCGCACTCATGGCACAGCCTTTTCTGTCGGGGGTTGCAGTGTCCCCCACAGAGGCTGTCACAGGCCTCAAGGAAGCAGGGTCCACCAGGACCGAGAGCCGAAGTTGCCGCGGAGAAAGTCAAGGACACAAAAGGGGTGGAAACCTGTCAGATGACCTCAGTGACATTCACAAGGCTCCATTAGCAAATGACACCCAGACCCCCAAGTGAAAGAGGAGATCTCCTGTGGCCCCCTCCTCCTGGTCAGGCCAACTCTACCCCAGGATGCTGCGCCCGGATGCGGACACACGCTCCTGCCCAGTCACACAGCAGGACTTGGCCCCCAGGTGACACATGCTGCCCTGTCACCTCCCCTCTCAGAGCCCACCCCAAGAGGCAGCAATGACCCCATCTCCTGACAGGACCACACTGTGGCCTACCCTCCAAGACTAGTGGTGGATGTGAGCTGGGGGCCACAGAGGGACTCTGGGGCGCCCACCATGGATCCCACCAGGGCTGTACTCCTCTCAGCATGGAGGATGGCAGCAAGGCCACAGACCCCGACCCCCAGCCAGCGCCCACTGCCCCCTGGCATCTTGGCCTTCCTGCTGGTAACTGAATCTGGTCTATTTGCCCCTGAGCTCAAAAAGTACAAATAGTCCTAAGAGAACTGCCAAACCTTTGTTTTCTTCACCTCCCCAGTCATTGGGTCCCTCGTCAGTGTCTCCCCAGCGTCTGGGGTTCTGGAGAGGTCAGCTCCTGCCAGCGGCCATCCTGACATTTAAGAGTTTGGGGCTCACCCCTCGCTGGCCCGGGTGCGCCATTGGAGGGGGAGGGGGCTCTTGGTACCTTGGCCCAGACCTGTGGCTTCCCAGGCCGCCTGCCGTGTGCACAGTGCCGGTTGATGGGTCCGGATTGGGGAGCTGTGTTGCTGATAAAGATCTGAGGCCACGTTACATACTGGTGCTTTCCACAAGTCAGCCCTGCCCCTTACAGGCCCTCCACGCTGGCGCCAGTCCTGCGCGCATCTCTTGGGGTGTGGAGCCTTTGGCCTGGGTTTGCCTACTGAGGAGCCCCAGCCGGGGCGTTGGCTGCCACCTGGGAAAAAGCTGAAAGCAGAAGCTGGGTCTCCAGGTTCCGCAGACCCCGTCCACGTCAGAGGCTGGCCTCCTTGGCCCTCGGGCTCGGCTCAGCCACCCTGAAGCCATGTGGCTCTGGTCCCAGGAGATGGCTGTGCTGGAGAGCTCGCGGCCCCAGGGCAGTGGGGCTGGTGGAGGAAGCTGCAGCTCTGGGGTGCCCCCAGGCCTGTTGGATTGCTGAGTTGAGACAAGCACACTTCTCACACAGTGCAAAGGGCCTCACAGAGGGGCTTTCCTGAAAGGTGCATTGCCCTTATCCATTTCTAACTTAATAAAAGAGTTGAGAAAATTCTTTGCTTTCTTTGGGCGCAGGGACCAGTCTCGGAGGACGTAAGGCACGGGTAGACTTCGTTTCCTCCCCACCAGCCAGGGCCCCAAATCTGCCCGTTGGTGTCTGACCCTCCGGTGAATTGGAGGATGGGGCCCCCAACCATCAACCCCAACAGTGTGTGGCCACCTTCCTGCTCAGCACCGAAGCTGTGACTCATAGTGGGGAAGGAAGGGGCCTTTGAAGCGGCAGTTGTCTTGAACGTTCTTCTGGGTCTTCACTAGGTGGGTATCTTGCACAGAAAGAAATTTCTGAACTCCATTCTGTTGCAGCCCCAGCCCCAGTGGCTTCACCAGTCTCTCCCCTTCAGGAGGGGAGCGGTCTCTTGCAACACAAAGCGGGGGCTTCTCTGAGGAGGCCAGCCTCCCACGGCTTTCCTGCCCCTCCAGCAGCCGGGCTAGAGCCTGCCCCACCTGGCCTCCGGGCCACAGCACCTTCGGGGTCGGGCCTGCTTGCAGCCGAGCATGGCTGGGCTGACTCTCCAGCACGCCCACAGATCTGCCTGGATGCTCACCTGCCCTGTTGGAGCCTTGGGCTTCGGGCTCGGGCTCTGCCTCATTAACCATCAAGGAGCAGCCTGGAGACGCCTCACCCAGGATCGAGTTCAGGGGTCCATGCACTTGTATGGGAAAGAATGACACCCTTCTTTTCAGTAACCTCTAAGTGATATTCAGCATTTCTTCAACTAGGAACGCAGGCACCACCCCACTGGTATCGGCAGCCCCCGTGGCTTTGTCTCTGGATAATCTCATAGTACAGTTGTCGATATCTTGAGATGTCATACTCATTACTGTCTCCAGATTACAGTTATTCTTAGACCGGCCACTAGATTGCGTTACTTCATGTGTTAATAAAGAAGCACAGATATTACCATTAATACCATAAATTTGTGTTACGGGTTGAATTGTGTGCCGCAATTCATATGTTGAAGTCCTAACCCGCAGAACCTCAGAGTGTGACCTTATTTGGAGAGGGTCGTTGCAGATGTTAAGATGAGGTCACACTGCAGTATGGTGGGCCCTAATCCAGTAGGACTGGTGCCTTAGATGGAGGAGAAATTTGGACACAGACGTGCTTAACGGAACGCGTGTGAAGACTGGAGTTATGCTGCCACACGCCAGGGAGCTGGTGAGGACAAGGTCAGGGCAGAGCCTTCCCCGGGTGAGGAACACGGCCCTGCTGACCCTTTGCCCTTGGACTCTGGCCCCCAGGGCTGTGAGATAGTTTCTGTTGTTTACGCCCCTCGGGGTGCGGTCCTACTTGGTGAGGCAGCCTTTGCAAACTGAAACAACAGGTTTCCTTTGCCAGCCCGGGTGTTGTGTTTTATATATTTAGAAACCTCCCCCCAGGAGTCCGCAGAGGGGTCCGGAGCACAGAAGAGGTTAGGGAGCCCTGACCTAGGGGAGCCGAGGGCACAGTGTCCTATCCCCACGGAGCTGTGGGGCTCGGCTCACAGGAGGCCCCCTAGCGGCCACAGGCCTGCACGGGGCCCTCAGCTCAGCCGCCGCGCTGAGTGCAGCAAGCTACGTGCCTTCCTGGCGTTCTGACTGGGGAAGGGGCTGGGCCTGCCCAGCCGCGACGTCCCTTCCAGGCGGCAGATGGGCAGGCGAGGGTGGGGGCCTCCCCAGGAAGCCCGATGCCCAGCCTCACTGGCAGTGGGGTTGCTGCCCCTCCTCCAGCCTGTGTTGCACAACTCCGAGGGCGCCAGCGAGACTGCAGTGTCTGCGCCCAAGTGTTGGCCGCTGGGCCCAGGCCTCAGGGAGCCGCGCACCTGCTGAGCCTCCCACACCCGAGGCCCCTCAGAGCCCCCAGGCGATGGCTGTGCAGAGCCGCTCCTGGGGCTCATCTCCAGCAGCATCCTCCCTGACGACAGGAGGCCAGAGCTGGGCCCTGGGTCAGAGAAGTGCTGGCTGAGCCTGCGAGGAGCCCTGGTACCGTGGACACGTTTGCGATGTGGCTGCACAGAGCCCGGTCCCACTTCCCAGATCCAGACAATGGGGACACCAGGGCCAGCCAGGGCCACAAGCCCTCCTCCAGATGGCCAGGCAGAGCCGCAGGAGGACTCATGCTGCGTCCCCTCTGGCCTATTGTCCTTGATCCGCTCTCACCTGGCCGCCAAGTGCCCAAGCCGGGACCTGGCCACCTTGGTAAGAGATGACTGTAAAGTTGTAAGTGGAGGAGGAGCAGGGGAACCTAGTTCACACCCAGTTCACAGCTCGCTCGCCTCACCCCTCTGGAGACCGTCCATCTGACGGCAGGCTTCGGGGTAACCGTCACCAGCTCACACGTTCATGTTTGGCTTTTGTGTGTCCCCCCTTGGCTGCTTCATGCAGACCTGACCTCGTGGCTCGCACGCCCTCCTGCCTTGGACCAGACACTTAAGGTCCCTGTGCTTCAATTGCCACGTGTGTAAAAGGGGGTGTCACCAGTGGCCGTTTCACTGAGTCCTGAGGAGACCTGAACGACACATAGTCTTGGGTGCACGAAGTCCTCAGATGGCGCCGGCACCCGGAAACCCTCAGCAGACACAAGCCAGTGGTGTTTGTACCGTGTGGGTCTCCCACCCCTGCCCCTGGAACCGCGGCCGTCAGCGTGCAGGGTCGCGGGTATCAGCGCCTCACCATGACCGTCTCTGTATGCGTCACTTTTTCCTTCTCGCATCAGTGCTTGGGGCTGTGTTCCACCCTCAAGTGGTTTTTGAGGTCAGAGTGCACCACAGTTTTAATAGAAAAGACCCAGGCTTTGAGGGAAAAGGGCAGCGTCTTGACCAGATGAGACTCCAGCTTCAGAGCCCTGCAGATTCGGATTAAGATCTGGCGTCACCCGGTCCCGGCCGCCTGGCCCTGGGCAAGACAGACAGTCTGAGCCTTGGTTTCCTCATCTGTGAGAGGAGAAGGCAGGCCGCCTACCTGGACGGATTGCTGAGGGGCTTAAATAGGAACATGTGCATTTCTTTCGTTCTTAAACAACCAGTGGGGCTGGGAGAGCGCTGGGTAAGAGGCCGGTGGGAGCTGGCGCCCTCCAGCCGTCAGGGAGCTTGCTTGTCACCAGGCACCGCCCCCGTGTCTGCCCTTTCTAGTTAGGGCCTTTTTTTTTCAGCGTGGGCCTGGAAGGCTGACCGGCAGAGGCCGGGGTTGCCTTCAGAAGGAAGCTGAGCAGAGGGCACCCCGGGCGTCGAGTGACCTGCGTGG